TTCATTCGGTTGCCACTGGCTGAAAGTAAGAAGTACACCATCAGGCTTTTCTTCCTAGCCCATCTTAGTCTGGAAGTGCCTCTGAAACCTGTTACACACATCCTAGCGACATGGCAAGCCTCACAGACAGACGTGGTGGCTGCATGTGAATGAGGCGCATCAGCCAGGGCTTTTTCCTTCCTTCATAAACTGATTTCCAGAAGCATGGTGCAGAAAGGAGAGAATACCCCCTCCCCCCCACCGCTCCCCTGCGTGCCATTTCTCCCAAGAGCATCCTGCCCTCCTGGTTTCTGTTCATGACGATCGCTGAGCCTGTGCTGCTCCATTCACATTAGGGTTTGGGCAAACGCAAAATGTCATGTCTCGATCACGATAGTGTCCTACAGGCTGGTTTCCCTGTCCACAAAGTACCCTGTGGCTAGCCCATTCATCCACCTCACCCCACTCTCTGGGGAGGGCAGCTTTAAAGAGGTCTGGGGTCAGAACAGCACCTCAACCAACGAGACCAGAGTCCTTGGGCGGGACCCGGCCTTGGGGTGTGTCTGATGGTTAGTGGAGGTTCAGAAATCATAAATTCCTTCTGATTCCCATGTAATTCTCATCGATGAAAGGATCACGCCTTTTTCATAGATTGGGGGACAGATTACAAGGGATTTCTTACTGTCATGAGGTTAAGAGTGCCCACTACCTCCCCCAAACTCCAAATCTACCCAGGGCTTCAGAATGTAACCTTATTTGGCATACGGTCTTTGCAGATGTAATTAACACTAGGTCCAGCCCAGGGCTAAGGGATCCTGGTGGCCCAGTTGTTAAGCACTCAGCTGCTCGTCTAAAGTTCAGCGATTCAAGCCCATCGGCTGCAGAAAGACCTGGTGATCTGCTGTCATAGAGATTTCAGCCTGTGAAACCGTATGGGGCACTCCTACTCTGCCCTCTGTCTGGTCGCTAGTGCTGAAGTGAAAGTGCCTAAGAACAACAACCAGGCAAGCACTGAGAGCACACTAGGTGGGGGTGGTCCCCACGCCCAATGAGCATGTCCTCAGAAGACACAGTCAAGGAGGCACACAGACACGGAGCTGGCAGATAAGAGGTAAGGTGCAGCCGGGCAGGGGGTAGAGTGATACAGTTACAAGCCAAGGATTGCTGGTGACCCAGACAGACGAGGATGGATTCACCATGAGAACCCCTGCAGGACCCAACTAGCCGAAACCCTGATCCCAGATGCCTGGCCTCCAGAGATTAAATATCTGTCTTGTAAGCCATGCAGTCTGGGATCTTCTGTTACTGCAGCCCCAGGGAACAAATGCAATTACTGTCCCAAGAACCCCCAGCCATTTCCATATAAAACCTGGGGTGACAACACCAAGCCCCAGCAGGTCAGGAAGCAGATGGTGGTGGTGGCTCTGTATCTCCTAGTGTGAGCTGATGTTCATTAAGCACATGCTGGGGGCTGCTTTTGTCCCCCTCTCCCCTGGCCACTGTCTGCCCCACCTGACAGAGGAGGAAACTGAGGTGTGCAGAGGTGGGGCGACCTGCCCCAGGTGGAAGTGCCAGAGCGAGCATTGAGCCCAGCTGTCCCCGTGGTGCTGTGTGACTCACGAGCCAAGAAGGAGGGGACACTGGACCAGGAGGAGGAGACCCCACCCGACCTACTGCAGGCAAGACAACCTCCACTCATTGCCACCCGCCAGGACAGAGTACAACTGCCAGATGGCCGTCTTCATGGAAACGGGCTGCCTCGCCATCTCCCACAGAGCGGCTGGTGGGTTTGAACCACTGGCCCTTTGGTTAGCAGCCAACGCCAGAGGTGCTGTGCCACCAAGGCTGCTATAGAGGAGGAAGCAGGTGCTGCAGCCAGGAGTGTAGGTGAGCCTGGACAGTGTCCTAAGCCAGCAAGCAAGCAGTCAGGCAGAGAACAAAAGATGTCTGCACCTAGAAGAAGGCCAGGAGGTGGCAGGACATGCTGGATCCCTGGTGGTGCTTCTGTTGTTAGTCCAAAGGTTAGGGGTTCAAGTCCCCCTGGAAGCACCTCGGAAGAAAGGCCTGGCGATCTATTTCTGAAACCCGGTGGGAGCACAGTTCTATTCTGACACACATGTGACTCCAGGTTCCCGGTCCCAGGGTGAAGCGTCTCATTGCATTTCTGCCTCAACACTACCAGGGGGACCGATGGAGAGACCCAGAAAAGAGAAGTGCCCCCACCGGGGTCCATTGTCCTTCAAAGACAGCCCAGGCCCCTCCTCCCCAGACTCCCAGTGCAGCAGCCTGGTAGCAGCTCAGCCAGTCCACTCCTCCAGGATGGGGCCAGCTTTAAAAGCCAGCAGCCGGTGGCTTGGCGGCAGGCACTGACCCTGGAAGGGACCCGGCTGCTAGCAAAGCACAGAAGCATTCCCCACTCAGAAATGGGTTCCAGACCTCCTTGGACCAGTGTCGGATGAAGAGCAGGGGCTGGTGGCAGCCTCTTGGGGAGCCAGCTGCAGGCTGGGGCCCTCACCTCTTAGAAAGGCAGTCAGGGCAGGCAGAGGGCCACTCTGGAGAAGGGAGGATAAACTCTCCGATGTTTTCAATCTAAGAGCTGATATAAAAATGTGTCTGCTGGCTTCCACTTGGCAGCCCAGAGTTCCAGGACCGCCTTCCAAGGTCAGTCTGTTAAACTCCTCTGTGGTGAGTCACTTTGTCCACGACCTCCCTGCCTCTCCCCTGCCACTGAGAGGAGACCCTGCAGACCTCCTGGGCTCCCCGGAGCAGCCGGCAAAGCACTGCTTGTGTGGAGGGCCCATGCTGGGTCGGTGGGGCTGTGGTTGGTGGAGAGCCGGGCCCCTCTCTGCAGAGACAGCAGCCACGAATGCCGCTGCCCAGCCAGAAACATCTGACTTGGATGTTACTGAGAAAGGCTGGCAATCGGCACTTTCATGTGATAGCTCCATGTTTTCTTTTACCAATTTTTAAAATCTGAGTTTATATAAAAACGCGTCCACAAATGTCCACAACCGTTTTTGTTTGTTTATAATAGCCCCAAGCTGGAAGCCTGTGCAAGCATCGAGGCATAGGTGAACAGATACGTATGCCACAGTACAACATGCCAGTCTGACCCTCTCTACCCCACGCATGTCTGAGCAGACTGTGCCCCCCAGGGTTTTCAATGCTCTGAGCAGTTCAAACCCACCAGCCGCTCCTCGGGAGACAGAAGACGCTGTCGACTCCCATAAAGCTCGGCAGTCTTGGAACCTGACTCGTTCTGAGTAGGAACACACTTGCTAGCTGACCTTTCAGAAGCAGATCTCCGGGCCTTTCTTCTGAGGCACCCCTAGCAAAGCTGAGCTCCCAGACTCTCAGTTAGGAGCCGAAACTTAACCCTTGGTGCCACCTCACTGCCATTGCATCAATTCCGACTCATAGCGACTCTCCCAGACAGGGCTGGGCTGCCCCCTGTGAGTTTCTGAGATTGAAAGTCTTTGTGGGAGCAGTCTTAGCTTTCTCCCAAGGAGCAGCTGGTGGTTTCAAACTGCTGACTTTGTGTTTAGCAGCCCAACACATCACCCACTATTGCACCTAAATCGTGGTCTATCCACACACTACAAACAGTGGGGCATAACCATACAGCATAATATGTATGGAATATATCAGTCAGCACCCAAGAAAGGAATAGACTATTGGTGCACCCAACAACCCGGATGAACCTCAAAATGATTGCATGGAGTAAAAAAAGCAAACAGAAAAACACACTGTATGTCTCCATTCATAAAATTCTAGAAGATGCAAATTAAGCTATAACTCAAACTCGATGCCACCCAGCCTATTCTGACGCATAGTGACCCTGCAGGGCAGGCTTATCATGCTTGGCAAAGCAGAAGGGCAGCGAAAGAGAGGAAGACCCTTGACAGGCTGGATGGGCAGCAGCCGCAGTAATGGGCTCAGACACCGCAGCCAGGGCTATGATGGCGCCGCCTCGGCAGGTTCTCCTGACAACGGTACCTACGGTCACAATGAGTCGGAGCAGACTCAGGAGCTGCTGACAATCACACAGGGCAGGGCAGAACCGCCCCGTGGGCTTCTGAGGCTGGGGTCTGGATGGATGCAGACAGCCCCATCTTAATCTACAGTGAGAGAAGACTCGGTGGTTTCCTGGAAACAGGGAGTGTCAGGGGTAGAGGGGGGATGACAAAGGGGTCCAAGCAACTGGTGGGGTGAGATGGTCGGGGCTGAGAAGAAGCCCAACTCACACTAGGTGTGATTTGCTGTGAATGGGGGAGCTGACTGACTCTCTCGTGAACAGGAAGGTTAGGTCTGGGAGCTGGGAAGCAAAATGCCACAAAAGGAAATCTAATTTGTGTTTAGCTGCCTGGGGATGCCTACGGGAAGGATTCTATCCCTCCAATATGCTGTCTTGGGGAGGGAGAGAGAGGAAGAGCACAGGAGGGAGGCAGAGAGGGAGGGGACAGCTGCCCACCAGGTGCTTATCAAAGTCTGCACATTCGCCCATGCACACCTGAGAGCGTGCTCAGACCTACTCAATCCCTCCTACTCGTCACATTAAAAGTCTCCCCAACACCCAACAGGTGGATTCTATGCTGCTGAAGCCTTTGAAAGCCAAAAGAGCCCATTTCTAAAGATGCTGATGGTACCAGGGATCTGCTCAGTTGTCACTGACAGGGACTGTGGTACCCTGCGTAATCACAGCTCCGCCCTCTCCACCTTCAGCCACGGAGTCTTCCACAGATGGAAGAGGAGGGGCCTGGGAGCCATAGAATGATGTGGTGGCCGTCAGGCCCGGCTCCACGCTCCCCCGTCCAGCAAGCAATGAGAATCCAGCCAAGATGCTGAAGTCCTCCCAGAGAGCTCATAGCTCTTGGGATTGGCAATCACATTCAGACCGCGGACTAAATGGGACCATGTCAGTACCAAAGATGGGCGGGTGGGGTCGCCCAGGTGCTGAAGAAGGTGGGGGCTCTACAAGTGTGGACGAGGGTCTTTCCAGGGCCCGGGGCCCTCTCCCTTACCTTGGCCAGCTGTGTCTGCAGCTTATTCTTAATGTCCATCACCTCGGAGATGCGGGCGTTGAAGGCCAGGTTAGTGTTCGTAAACTGCTTCCACATCTGGTCCGACAAGGTCTCCAGGAGGTGCTCCGCCTCCTCGCGCAGCCGGATGGAGTTGGCCCGCATGTTCTGGGAGTGTCTGATGTTGTCATTGCTGAACTTGGCCCAGGTCTCAGGCACAGAGACCCTGCAAGAGGCACAAGGACAGATGTACTATAGGCGAAGGAGGACGCAGAGCCTTGTCCACCTCCTGACCAGGGTTTCTCAATCTCGGCAGTGTTGCTATGGGAGGCTGAGCTGTCCTTTTAGCAGGGGATGTGACCTATCAGATGCTTAGCAGCCCCTGGATGCCAATGACACTCTCTCCCCTGATTGTGAGGGCCAGAAATGTCTCCAGACCTTGGCCACTGCCCCCTGGGGAGGGCGCACCACCGCCCAGCTTGAGGACCCCTGTCCTCTCCCAACCCTGCAGCCGAGACAGAGCAGCTGACTTTCCCTGGGGCACGTTCGTGGGTTGGTGAGAGAAGCACACTTTCCCATAACACCTTCCACAACCCCACCCAAACCCGGAGATGGATGAAGAGCCAGGCACTGTGGTACTCGGCGGGCTGCAGCGAGCACCCTTCCACTCGGTGGTGAGCGTGGGGCTGTGCCAGTGTGGCTGGAATGTTTGCTCCACAGAGACTGGTTGTGGGATCAGCCAATGAGAGGGCACCACAGGAGATGGGAGATGGGCACTTGGGCCCCCTTGCCATCCATTTCCAGCAAGGAGACGGACAATACACAAGAGACTGACACAGAGGCTAAGTGCTGCAAGGAACTTAGAAACAGAGGAGTGGTCAGCCACCTTCGAGTCTCAGGCAAAAAACGCGGGGGACCAGAACAGCCAGGCAGCCTGCGGGGCCCGGTTCTCACTGGCCGCACTGCCCGCCCAGAGGTTTTCTCCAGCTTTTGCGGTTGTTCAAAAGCAAGCCGCACACATGGCTCTGGCTTCCGGGGACGAGAGAGACTGTGGTGTGTGGGCCAGGGCTTCCATCCATCCACACGGGGGCCAGAGAAGGGTGTGGGCAGCCCAAGGCTGCACAGTGGCTTTTCATCCCAGGGTGCTGGCCAGGGCAGCAGCTAGAGGCCTTCTGGTTTCCTCTGAGGGTGTCCACTGCTGTAGGATGGGACCGTGCCAATGTCACTGAGTCCCCTCTGCCCTGGAGTGGACAGCTGAGCTGTGACATTCCTCCAGGGGTTTGTCACACATCATTGCTGGGAACTAGAACTTCCAGTGTTGTCAGACTTCCCTGGGAAGGGACCCCTGCAAACCCAGCCTGTGGTCTTTTACCCTGCCGTGCACCCCTCCCTCAGATTCTAATCAGCATCCTTTCACTGTAAGACACAGGAACCAGGAGGATACGGCTTTGACGACTTCTCTGGGTCCTTCTAGCAAATTACTGAACCTGAAGGTGGTCCTGGGAACTCCTAAACTCTATGACCCAAAACCCAAACTCATCGCCCTCAGGACAGACTAGAGCTGCCCCCATGAGTTTCCAAGGATGTAACTCTCTATGGGAGTAGAGAGCGTCCTCTTTCTCCCACGGAGCGGCAGGTGGTGTTTGTCACTGACCCTCACCTTATATACTCTGGGCATGTTATCAGGAGAGGCTAGGCCCTGGAGAAGGTCAAGTTTTCACTTTACTTTCCTCTCTTCTAACGAGCACTCAGGCTGTACATCTTCCAGGAGAGATTTGCTGGTTTTCTTGTGGTCATGTAATTGGGTGGACAGAGACATTGCTCTCAGGCCGTTTTAAACCTGCCCAGAGGTAGCCTGGCCTTAAGAAAACTTCGAGCACAAAGTCCTGAGCTAGCCCATCTGGGGGCCATTAGTCACCACAAAGCAGCTCTCTTGGGCAGTCACCAGATGGGGACCTTTGAGTAACAACTCTTCCTATGGAAACTGGAGACCCTGCCAGCTGGCCTGGCTGCCAGGCTTCCAGGGAGGTGTCTGTTTAGGAAAGGATTCCAGTCCCAATGGGCAGCTGTGGCCAAGGAGGGCCCAAAGCTTACAGTCCTCCTTGACAACGCCATGGGGTGGTCATCAGGCCAAAGGGGAGAAGGGTCCTGGCACCATCATCGCTGGGATCCTCAAGGACCATCTCAACACTGAGATCTTCACGAAGACCCACAAAGTGACCCCAGACCTGGACCAAGGAGATGGCCAAGGAACTCCTTCCCGACCTTCTTTCCTCAGTGAACTAGTGTATGAGCTATTGTATACCTACTATGTGCCATAGGAAAGTTGGACATTGAATAAAGAAGACAAGAGAGGATGCATTTGAACTGTGGTGCTGGTGAAGAATACTGCAAGTCCCACGGACCGCCAAAGGAACAAAGAAATCTGTCTAGGAAGAGGTGCAGCCAGAATGCTCCTTAGAGGCCAGGATGGCGAGAACGCACACTAGTGCCTGGCAAGGACATCCTGCTTGAAAGAGGAGAGGGCTGGTGACACAGAGGAAGGTCCTCAAGGAGACGGATGGAGACAGTGGCTACGACAACGGGCTCAAGCAGAGGACCAACGGTGGGGATGGTGCAGGACTGGGCAGTGCTCCGTTCTGCTGGCACAGGGTCGCTCTGGGCCGGGCTGACTCGATGGCACCCAACAACAATAACAACCACGTGTCGAGCACAACGCGGTGTGATGACGATTCAAAGGAACAACGGACCAAGACAAGAGTCCACCTCACCTGTACCCAGTCCTAGTGGCCCCAGACTGACGACAAGGAGGCGTGCCTAAGCTCGGTACCAAATCGGGCTGTGGCACAGCCGCCACAGGGCCATGCACAGAAGGGCCCCTCGCTCCCAAACACCATCAGGAGAGCATGTGGGCACACACTCAGGCGGTGCACACGGAGTCAGTGTCTGGTGGACTCGCTCCCCATGCCAGGGACTCTGTACTCCTCACAGAAGCCCCGGGTGCCGGGGGCTGTCTGTATCCCAATGGCAAAGACGAGGACACGGCCCCCCGGAGGAAGTCCAAACAAACAAACAAACAAACAATCAAGCTTGCTGCCATCCAGCCAATGCCTCCTCACGGCGTCCCTATCGCACAGGTGGAACTGCCCGTGTGCATTTCCGAGACTGTAACTCATGAGGGGAGTAGAAAGCCCCATCTTTCTCTTGTGAAGCAGCCGATGGTTTTGAACTGCTGATCTTGCAGTTAACAGCCCACTGCCTAACCACTGCACCACCAGGGTCCCTTAAGGAGGAAGTAGCTTCCTCAAAGTGTAAGCACCAAGCTTGTGATTTGGAGCCTGACTCCAGGGTCTACACTTTTACGCCATGGCCAGGTCCCATGGGTACCAGTCGGCCTTCCCTGCAGAGCGTGAGCATGCATCCGACCCTGAGTCTGGCTCCAGCCATTTTGCTTTTAGAATTTGGTGGGATTGCCAGTCAAGGTGCAGATGCTCTGCTGTGTGTGGGTGTGTGGGGGGTGTGGGGGTGGTCGTGGGACTCGCATGCTCGCTCTCTTTCTGGGATTTGGATCTTAAACAAAGTTGAGTGTCATGGGTTGGGCTGGATATTGAAATCCTACACATAAACCCCCAGCCCCTGCCACCCACCAGTGGCTATAACTAACCTTATTTGGAGAGAGGGGCTTTTTGTCAGATGGAATTAGTCAGGTTGACATGGAATCATATGGGGACTAGGGTAAGGCCTAACCCAATATGACAAACAACACAGACAAAGTCACTGCCCGCAAGTCAATTCCAACTGATAGCAGCCCTACAGGACAGGGTAGAATGACCGTGTGGGTTCCCAGGGCTGTCCATCTTTACGGAAGCAGTAAGCTCATCATCCTCCCACAAAGTGACTGGTGGAGTTGAACTGCTGACCTTGTGGCTAGCAGCCTAATATGGAAGCCACTGGTCTACCAAGGGCTCCTCAACCCAACGTGACTGGCGTCCTTATAAAAGAGACGAGGCACAGAGACCCATAGAACCTGGGAGGGAAGAAGACCATGGGATGACAGAGGCAGGCTGGAGGGAGGCAGCCACAAGCCAAGGGAAGCTTGGGACCAGCGGAAGCCGGAGGAGGCATGGGGGAACTCTGCCCTGGAGAGAGTAGGGCCCTGAACTCACACTCTGGGCCTTCAGCCCGTGGGACAGCCTTCCTGCTGTTGTAAGCCACACAGTGGGTCCTCGGAGCACGCGTGGTGACGTGGCAGGTCCGACAAGCAGCCTGATTAGCTCCTGCTCCCTGGATGCCTCTAGTTGCCCGAGCCTGGGCTCTGCCTCCTTCCCCTCGACTCTGTGGCTCATTTCTATTTGGTCTGAAGTTAGCCAGCACTGGATTCTGTTGCCTGTAGCCACGGTTCCTCGGGTAGCCACCCAACCTCCCTCTTGACTGGTGCCCAGCACCCCCTATTGCGCTTTCTCAGGAGGAGGCCCAGAAGCCTGTCCCCAGGGTGCCGGCAGGGATGGGGCGGGGCGTACTCACGTGCCGTCGACTCTCTCCACGCCGTGGAAGAAGCTGACGCAGTCTGACGTGTTGCGCAGGTTGATGCACTTCTCGTCAATAAACTGGGCCGAGTTTTTGTCCTCCAGGTCCCGCTCCAGCGCGTGCTGAGCATCCCGGTTGTCCCTGCAGGTGCGGGTGGGGAGGGGTTGTCTTCCAGGCTGCACTTACCCAGAGTCCCTCACTCAAGGGCACAGGGTAAGGCGGTGAGAGTCAGAGTGGACAGCCAAGACTCTGGACCCCCAAGAAAATGTCCTCCTTACTCCTCAATGGCTCCCCTGCACCCCCCTGTGCCCAGGCCAGGGCTTCTCCACTTGCCTCCCTGTCCCAAATGCGCCCACGGTCATCAAGTGGATGCCCACTCAGAGGGACCTCGAGGACAAAGGAGAACCGCCCCGTGGGTTTTCTGAGGCTGTGACTCTCTGCGGGAGTAGAAAGCCCCATCTTTCTCCCACGGGCCGTCTGGGGGTTTTGAACAGGTGATCTTGCCGTTAGCAGCTCAGCACGTGTTACCCACATGTCGATTCCGACCCTGGCGGCCCTGTGTATGCAGAGGAGAACTGCTCGGCCGGCCTTCTAAGGCTGAGAGCTTCCGGAAGCAGGCCTTTCTTCCAAGGCACCCCAGGAGGGGTTCGTACCACCAACCGTTTGTGCCGCCCAGCCACCTGTCCCTCAGAAGAGGGCTCAGTAAACGTTCCCTCGGGATCCCAGGTGGCATAACTGTTGAGCACACAGCCGCTAACACACAGCCTCAAGGTCTTTCTCCCACGGTGGGTTCAAACTGTGAGCCTGCGGCCATAAAAATGACAGCAGTGATCTTGTCACTGGTAGTGCCACCTCTCCCTGGGGCCACTTCTCCGTGGGGACCCCCGACCATCCCCGACCCCATGAAACCAAGCAAACAAACTCCCTGCTGTGGGGCACATGCCAACCATCGGCCCTGTTGGCAGAGAAGAGCTGCCCTGTGGTTCCAAGACTGTCCCTCTTCCCAGGAGCTGCAAGGCCAATCTCTGTCCTGCCGAGCTGGTAGGTTCTAATGGCTGACCTTGCCCGTGGCAGCTCAGCACGTAACCACTACACCACTGGGGCTCTTTGTCCCAGACCACCATAGTCATGTTTATTATTCTTTGTTTAATCACACTCACTCACTCACTCTGTCAGGTTTCTGAGACCATAAATCTTCAAGGGGGCAACCAGCCTCATTTTCCCCCCTGGGAGCAGCAGGTGGATTTGAACCTGATGCTCAGCCCGCTGTGCCAGTGCTCCTCAGTCCCACCTCTGAATAACGCTGCAAACTCAACTTTCCAAACTCCAGTCCTCCTCCAAACCCACCATCTCTCCCCATGAATCAGTGCTCAGGAGCAGAAATGCAAGAAAAGTAGAATATACCAAATACTTTTGCCTGCCCAGAGGTCTCCTTTATTAGAACCTTCCTTTTTAAATAAAAAAATGTTTAACACTTTGGGGGAAAAATTTAAAGAGCTAGTTGCTGTCCTATCAGCTTCGACCCATGGGGACCACAGGTAGGGTGGGAGGAATAAAACAATGCTAGCCCATCTTTAGGGCAGTTGGCATCATCCAGCTGCCAGGTTGTACCTCCCGCCTGAGGCTCACCTTCTACTTGTACCTGAGAAAATACGTTTGTTGTGAGCCACAGGGTTTCTGGGGACTAATCTTTGGGCAGAGATCGCCAGGCCTTTCTTCCTAGTCCCAGTCTAGAAGCTCTGCAGAAGCTGAACTCTGCCCACTCTGGGAGACCCTGCCGAGGGGCTTCACAAAGTTTGTGGGGCACAAGGAGAGGGGATGGCAGAAAGAAGGAAGCTTGTGGGGAAATGGAATGGCAAGACAACAGACTTTCCAGGGCCGCCTCGAAGCCCCCTCATGTGTGCAGACCACTTACTGGCGGGCATAGCTTCCACCATCGGGGAAACCCACAAGCCCCGATGAGGACCAGTAACCGGAGACGAGCAGTGGGGATGAGTGGGAGGTAAGCAATAACCCCGGGGGCTTGTGGGATTGCTGGAGTGAGGACGGACAGACGAGGCCCAGTCCTGTACTCCGTGGCAAACCTTCCCCACCGCGCCTGTCGGCCAGAGCCACCTTTATCCACAGGTGAATGTCACACCGCTTCATGGCTGCGCTCGATACTGGCTGGATGCTGGGGAAACCCTACACCCCAGCCCCGCCACCCAGTGCTCACTCCTCAGACAAGTGGGGAGACTCCTGGGCTGGGGTGAGGCCTGCTGTTTCTGGACTCAGTGTTAAATTGCCCAATAAGCAAAGTAGGCATGGGCTGACCTGTACTTACTTACTGCTCTGTAGTGAGCAACTGGGCACCTCTCCACCGCTTCCCAGGGTCTGCTTCCAGGTTTGGCGGGTGTTTCTCTCTCTCCCAACCCCACAGCCCCTGCCAGAGGTGGAGCTCCCAGCAAGCACAGTACGCACGGGCTGACTTGTGCTTACTGACTAATCTGTAGGGCACCCTTTTCACTGTGGAGACCTGTGTGAAACTGGTCACTACATATTAGGAGAGTGGCCAAGTCAGCCCGTGCTTCTCTGCCTACTGGGGGCACAGCGAGGCAAACAAGGTGCCCCTCGTGCACTGACTGCAAGCTGCCTTACCTTTAGTGTCCCACCCAGAGGGCCTGTGTCTGTCTGTGTCAGTGCCCCGGTGGCTAAGAGTAAATGAAGGGGAGAAACCTGTACAGTAGCGTGCCCGGAAAGGGTTAAAGGTGAGTGCCCCGCTTGGGGCCAAGGGGAGGTCACCTCGGGGTGGCAAGGCTAAGTTATGGGCCCAAGCCCTGTGAATCACAAGCCTCCCTTTAATTATGAGAGGGGCCTCCCAGCTTGTTGTGATACCAGTTACATAATCGTCCAAGAACAAAAGCTGCTGCCTTTTGAAGACTGCTGACTCCAGGCGTCTGCCAGCTCCCCTCTGGAGAGGCCTGGCCCCTCACCTTGCTGGCACCCAACTTCGGCACTTCCCAAGGTTTGCCCCAGCTCAAAACTCAGTGCAGCCCCTTTCCTTTTGCTGGGCCCTCAAGGCAATCAGCCGGGCTGGGGATGCCCTGGCTGGCGTCCTGGTGCACATCTGAGCAACATCACACGGGCAGCTTGACACCAGCTGTGGCAGGAGTCTTTACACCACCCCAGTTGACGCCACCACTCTCAGTCGGACGTACTGCCACGGCTCGTGTGTTGCTGCGATGCTGGAAGCTATGGCACCGTGTTTCAGATACACCGATGGTGAACAGGCTACAGTGGGGCTTTTCAAGTGAGACAGGCTCAGAAGAAAGAGCTGGCAACCCAATTCTGAAAACTAGTCAGTGCAGAGCGTGTGCTGATATAATCTAGAGGACGAGCCCCCTAGGACGGAGGGCACTTGGAAAGCACCCTGTCTCGCAGTGTGGTCATGAAGCTGGCTCAGTCAGGACTGGGCAACGTGTTACTCTGTGATTCGTGACACTATCAAGTGGGCCAGAGACATCTCCACCACACCTAATCACAACAGGCAGATGTTACAAACCTGAGCTCTCTTCTTGTCCTGGTTGTTTGGGACACTGATCTAGAGACAAAGGAGCCTGTCTGACTTGCCCCCAAACCTGGGAACCCCTCAAGAAAGCCCAAAGGGTCGGAGAGGAAAGGAACCCTTACCGCAGCTGGAGGTCAATTCTTTGAGCCAGCTTTCTCATCTGCTCCTGGCAACACTTGAGCAGATCTACTTCCTGAAATGATACATGTTGGAAAGAAGTTTGGCATCTTGGAAACTCGCGGTGTCCTGTCTCCCAGACCAGGCCCACACCCGTCTCAGCCCATGTGACCCCGGAGCCTGCGACTCCGGGCTGTGCTGGGTTTTGCCACATTCCTCGCTCTGATTCTTTTATTTTTATTGTTGTTGTTTTTTAAAAAATAACATCGGATTATGTTTGGGGCATGGAGGTTTACACTGCAACCTGGGTTCCCCTTCAAACATGCCACACAAGCTGCAGTGCTGCACACACTCCCCCGAGGGTGAATATCCCTTTATTTCCATCTGGTTGCTCTGTTTCCATTCCTCTAGTTTCCCTGCCCACCTGGAGTCTCATCTCTGCATTCATTGCTGGCCCCTTGCTCCCAGAGAGGCAACGCTTTAAAAGGATCACAGTACTTAGGGCAGACATTCCTTCTTTTCTTATAGTTGTTTTGCTACCAGATGACCTCGGGGGCTAGTTGCAAGCCGTCTTGGGGGTCTTTCTACCTCAAACAGCCCTGTAGGGCTGAGTGTTGTTTTCAGCAAGTTTAGGGTCTGTTCCACATTTTCCTATATTCACTTGGGGTGCCCTGATTAGAACAGTGACCCTGGGAGTTGGGCACCATCGAGTCCTCTGGTCTCAGAGTAAATAAGGCTGTGGGTCTTGTAGACCACTAGTTCCCAAAGTAGGCAATACCACCCTCTGGGAGGAACTGGAATGATTGGGGAAGTGGGGGGGGGGGCAGTGCTACAAAGCAGATATTTACACTTTATCCTGGATTAGGGGCTAGAAAACCAAAGTTTTCAATTGCCAGGGGCATGCTAAGTAGTTGTTTTCTGAAAAGGGGTAGTAGGATGAGTATGTGTGGGAACCTATGGTGTTGACTATGTCATTTAGACTAGCTCCTTCTTCCTCCTTTCTCCGCTGCTCCAGCGAATGAGTGGAGACCAGGAGTTCGTTGTACCTTAGATGGCTGCGGGTCTGTCTTTTGCTTTCATTGACTTCCAGACTCTTAAGAAACCGAACATCTACTAAGTTCCAGGTGCTCACTTACAGATTTTATTCCTAAATCGAGCAACCCATGTGAATCAACTCAATACATAACACACACAACTCAACAAGCATCCACTTCTGTGACTGACACACAGCACCACTATGGCGGTGCCCATTTTGCAGATGAAAAAGCTAAGAGTCAAATGCTCCAGTGTCTCTCTGCCCCTCTGGTCTTGCTCGCCAAGCTCTAGCTCTCCTGGTTGACACGGTGGCTTCTGCTCCTCCCAGGCAGTGCAGAAAGCCACCCCCCTCTTCCCGAGGGAGCAGGCCAACCAGTGAGACAGCTTACCCGGATGAGGTTCTTCTCCACGGTGTCATGGACCAAATCGATCCCGATCCTTTTCTCTCGGAGGTACAGACACTCCAGGGCCACCTGTGGGAGCAGCGGGAAAGAGAGTGTTCAGGTAGACCCTGAGTGGAGGCCACATCTCGTCACTTTTGCACACTCTGCTCATTTCTCCGAGAACCCTGGGGGCATCTGCTGGCCCCCTTACTGTGTTTTGGGTGGGCTTCTGCTTCCCTTTCTTGCTGGGGTCAAGAAAAGGCGATGACATTGACATGAAAAAGGATAAGAACCACATGATAATATTGATAAATGCAGAAAAAAATTCGACAACATCCAACATTCATTCCTGTTTAAAGCACTCAAGAAGATAGGAATGGAAGGAAAATTCCTCAATATAATACAAGAAATATATGAAAAACCAATAGCCAACGTGGTAGTCAACGGAGAAAACATGAAAACAATCCCGCTGAAAAAGGGGACCAGACAAGGATGCCCCTTGTCCCCACTTTATTTAACATCGTCCTGGAGGTCCTAGCTAACAGCATAAGGGGAAGGAGAGACATCAAAGATATTCATCTGGGGAAAGAAGAGGTGAAACTGTCGTTATTCGCAGATGATATGATTCTATATATGGAAAATCCCAAAAGCCCCACAGGGGAGTGCTGGAAGCAATAGAGAAACATGGCAGAGTGGCAGGGCACAACATCACAAAGAGGACTCTATAGGACTGCTATATGCAGCAGACAAGACCATGGAAGAGGGGATCAAAAAGGTAGTACCCTTCACAATAGCCAAGCACAAACTGAAATATCTAGGGATATACCTGACTAAAAACATAAAAGATGTGTACAAGGAAAACTACAGAACACTATTACAAGAAACCAAGAGTGACCTCCATAAATGGAAGAATATCCCATGCTCATGGATCAGAAGACTTAATATAGTAAAGATGTCAGTCATGTCCAAGGCACTATATAAGTTTAATGCTATCCTGAAATAAACACCAGTATCTCTTTGCTCAAATAATTTGAAAACCGACTACCAGCTTCATATGGAGAGGAAAGAAGCCCAGAATTAGCAGAGAACTCCTCAAGAAGAAGGACACAGTGGGAGGGCTTGCTTTACCTGACTTCAGCCACAGTGGTCAAAACAGTGTGATACTGGTATAGTAAAGAACTGAAAACCCAGAAATAAAATCATCAGCATACAGACAACTGGTCTTTGATAAGGGCCCCCCAAATATCAAATGGGATGCAGATGCCCTCTTTAACAAGTGGTGCTGGAAAAAATGGATATCTACCTGCAGAAAAAATGAAGCAACACCCTTACCTCACTCCATGCACAAAAATAAACTCAAGGTTTAATAAAGTCACAGACCTTGAGGTAAAACCCCAAACTATTAGGGCCATCAACAAGAGAATTGGGACAAACCTAAGAACTTTGGCTCAGGGAATACATAGGCTATCAGAAATAGGGAAGGACACAAACACAGAGGAAGCAAAAATCGACAAGTGGGGTATACTGAAGAGAAAACACCTGTGTATATCAAAAGACTTCGCCAAGAGAGTAAGAGCCCGCAGACTAGGAAAACATCTTTAGCAATGACACATCAAACAAAGGCCTTATTACTAAAATCTACAATATTCTGCTAGCTTACAATAAGAAAAATAAAATAGCCCATTAAGGAGGTAGGCAAAAGACCTGAACAGGAGTTTCACAAGGGCAGAAATCTGAATGACCAATAAACATATGAGAAAATGTTCTCCATCATTAACCATAAGGAAAATGCAAATTAAAGCAAATATGAGATACCACCAAACACCCTCAAAGATATCCTAATTCAAAAAATCAGAAAGCAACAAGTGTTGGTGGGGGTGTGGAAAGATAGGACTTTCATTCACTGCTGGTGGACCTGTAGGTATGTGCAACCATTATGGAAATAGATTTGGCGATTTCTAAAACAAATGGAAATTGAGCTACCATATGACCCAGCAATCCCCCTACTGGGCGTATACCCAGAAGAGGTGAAAAACAGACCACAGCCAGACATCTGTGCTCCAATGTTCATCAATGTTGTGCAATTCACAATCCAAAGAGTTGAAAACAACCTAAATTCCCATCAATGGACTAATGGATTAAAGAACTCTGATACATACATACAATGGAATACTACGCATCCCTAAAAAGCAGGGATGAACGCATGAAGCACACAGTCACATGGGAAGAGTTGGAGGACATTGTATTAAGTGAAGTAAGCCAGGCACAAAAGGACAAGTACAACATAAGTCCACTGAGGTAAGCTTAAAAAGCAGAAGGGGCATAGGGGGCAAGCCACTAAATGCATAGATTCCTGGGGCAAAGCCCAGGCGCTCTGACAGGGGTCAGACCCAATCCAGGGATGCATATGACAGCCAACTAAAAAGGAGAGGAAAAGGAGAAAAAGAGGACGTGGGTTGGGGGTACAGAGCACTAACCCAGCCATGGGGAAGGTATTGTTTAGGTCTCCACAGAAAAAGGAGAGAGAGACCAGACCTCAACCTAGTGTGCCAATCCTTCAGGGCAACATGTCTGTTTGGAGCATCGGGCTAGCAAAGAAGTATGCAGGTCTGGCTCCAATCCCAGCTATGTTGACCCCCTCCCCAGAAGAATGCACTACAGAGGACAGCACTGACGATACAGCCTGGGGAGAGGGCGGTCTGCCCAGACCACACAAGAGCAAACTAAGAGGGAAAGAGAGAGAGAGAACTGACCACATCCTGGCCCACCGAGCCCCAAGGACGGCATCCCTGCTTGGAGCAGCCAATGCAGAGAGAAGACGGAAGGGCTGGCCCCACCACAAGACACGACGTCCCCTCACTGACCCACAGCACTACCAGGGACAGTACTGGAGACACCACGCGGGAACTGTGCCTGGTCTGACCTCCTCCACCCCCACCAGGGGAAACGTGAAGGGACTGCATCAGAACAACAAGGGAAGCAAAGCAAACAAGTCCCCAAGGAATCCCCAAAATAGACTTAGGACTCAGGGTTAGATCTGGGCACCTCATCAGACTTGATTGGAAAACATTCATAAGGGTCAGCAGACAGACCTGGAACTAGTTGTAGACCTTTTCTTCTCCCTCCCTGCCCCCTACCGGACCCCGCCATTTTGATCTATATAAGATAGGCAGGATAAACAATCCCAAGGAGAAAACAATGGGACCAACAGTTCCAGGGGAACATGGGAGAAGAGGAGATGGAGAAAAGGAAGTGGGAAGTCAACCAACCCAGAGACAAGGGAACAAGAAGTGATCTAAAATCGATGGCAAGGGGTGTGTAGAATGCCTGGCAGGGTTGGAGCAAGTGCAACTTAGCCGAGAGAAATTACTGAGAGGTGCATGAAGGTCAGACATGATAGTGGGACAGGAGGAAAGTCAAAGGAAATAGAAGAAAGAACTAGGAGGCAAAAGACATTTATACAGGTATAAACATAGGCATGTACATACGTAAACATATTTAT